GCTGTTCAGGGAAATGCTAATCGCTGGTTAATGTCCCTTTTGTCAGGCACCGCGTTATCAGGCTTCGGAATCAAACGTGCCAGTTTTACGATCAACTGCTCATGAATAGCACTTAGAGAAAGTAACCTCCACCCCCATTCTGTTGGGGTCTCTTCAGCAGTCTGTTGAAAGTTGATCTTTAACCCCCCTGCTCTCAGGGAGAGGGGAATAGTTTTGAGTAGTTCAAATTTATTTAATATAAATGCACAAATCCACACTGTTGTCCCACTGCAATATTGTCCTGGAAATTCTCTGTAACAGAGATGGATTTAAGAGAGAATTGTCTTCCAAGAGGTTATTGTAATATTCAGTCAATCATTTGCAAATGAGCACCTGAGCCTTTTGGGCTGAGAAATATTCTATGAGGCTCAATGATCCTATTTGTAAATATATCTTATAGTGTTACAAAACACCCCACACTCCTTACCCTCTAAGACAAACTGTTATTCATTTATTTTGATAAATAGTACTCCTTCTGTTCTAGTTCTGTCTATATTTCTTCCCCAGGGATGGTTTCTTTCTCTGCCTCTATCTGCTGAGAATTAAAAGTTGAAGGCCGAATTCCACAGCTTCGCCTTTGATAACATTTAACAGGCAGTTCCCAGACAAGACAAAGCATCACACTGTGCACTTTTAGTCACAAGACAGTAAGAGTATACATTTCTATTTCAATGTACACACATACTAAACCAAGACCTTCTCTGATATATGTGTGTGTGTTAAATAGACAAGACAAGTGGGTTTTACAGACAGGCTTTAGAGTTGAATTGTGCTTAAGAGGCCAATCGTTGCTTCTAATATGAGCAGGCAATAGTGTTTCTCATAGTTTTGCATTTCCTCATATGCAAAGGTCACTAAAGATCAGAAGAAAAGGTGGAAACATTCATGCAGCCTTGTGATGTGAAGAAGTGATGGCTTTTACAGAGGTGTGTGATACTGTGTAAAAGCTCCATGACTTTAAATATAGTCATGTATTGTCAGGTGATGTCTGCCACCCATCTGATGTTTGGGTCATTTAAATATCAACACAGAGTGAAAATGAGTACTCACACTAATGGGCCACATTTGCAAGACACTGTCACTTCTTGAGGAAGAGCTTGCAAACTGCTTCCATACTGGTCTTTGATAGCAATGATAGCATTGTTAGCTAGCTAGCTACTTAAACTTTAATGTAACTTACTATCCACCTGACCACGTCCGTGTTGCACTTTCATGGCTATTTAAATCCCACACATGCTGATTTTATCAGTGACAGTAGGCATAAAATGGCACGCCGTTTCTGCACAATAAAAATCAATGCAGTAAATGCATTTATGAATGTAAAACCTTGCAAAAAAATACAATGACATTGTTCTGAAAATACTCTTTTTCCAGTAAAAGATCAGTTAAATCTACAAATATTTTGCTAGTTTACTGGTATGAATACCTTTCCAGAGCAGTCTGGGAATCACAGGAATCACAGCTTAAATAAATCATTTTTGAATTTAACAAAAAAAGACCTGTAACATTGACGAATGCTTTAAAATAAAACTTCTTTAACTGTATATGACCAAAATAGTCAAAACTTTTTCCAGTGTGAATTGTTTACACGACTTTTCCAAAAAGCTTTTCCAAGTGAAACAAAAACAATATAGCACAGATCTTATAGTTATTCTTAGATGTGTTAAAGCACACTTTTCCAATTGATAAGTCAGCTACATCAGTAGAAGAAACATCATGATATACATTCGTTAATATACATGTCTTAAAGCCCGAAATTCTAGTTGGCAAATGGGGGGTCTTAATTTTCTACTAACCTGTAATTTTAACATGACCCCACTGCCTATAAATTATCCAAATTTTATCAACAGACCCTCCTGGCTTTGAAATTATGTTACATACTGAATTATGTTCTAATAATCAGTTGAAATATAAATCAACAACGAAACATACCAGTGTTTAACATAATGAAATCAGATATCATTTGAGCTGTGTTTCTAGTAGTGAGTTGTGTTCCTGCATTGTGTGGGTGGAGGCTCACTGCCTCTCTCCTGCAAGGGAGCTTTGACCTAGATATACGCTCTGATGAGTAAGGGTCATGCATCTAAATGTAATATGGAGCTTGATTAGTTGCTCCCTGGGACCAGCTAGAATTGACATGTACTATGCACTTGGATTTACAATAAAGCTCACAATGGATTTAACCCTTGAGGATTACAGTGTTTCATTAAAAGGGATTTAACAGTGTATGTGAGGAGCCTAGGACGTCTGGCCCAGCTGAAGGTTAACCACAATTCATCCCCACACAAAACCATCACATTGAATAATGGAGAGATTACTGTTGGAAAAAAAACATTTACATTTACATTTACTCATTTGGCAGACGCTTTTATCCAAATCGACTTACATTTGAGGAACAACATACAAGCATCAACAAAACATCAAATACAGCACGAGATCTACAACTGACGATACATACTAGTAAGTGCAGCAATAAATACTAGTAAGAGCTCATAGCATGTATGGCATCAATGGGGTAAATACCTAGGGAAAGAAGTGTTGAAGTACACCGACTTCACTGGGTCCGTTGATGAGAAGAGATCAGATGAGACAGTGCCTTAAGTTTCGAGACCTTTATTACCAAACCAAAAGCAATTGCAGATATATATCTGGAGACTCCTCACACCAACACAGAGTCTACTCTGAAGCAGTAAGCAGAGGAGTCTGTCTCTTCCTATGCAGCCTGACAATTTATAGAGGTAACTGTACCCAGAGTGGTGTGTCTGTGTGTCCGTGTGATTTGTGATATGGATGTGTGTGCTTGTGATTGGGTGTGGATGATTGAATTACAATGTATGGTATGTGTTTGTCAACACAACATCCTCTTATCTAAGCCTCACAAACTAAGTATTGCAACACAAGTTACCTAAGATATACAGAGAGCATCATGTACCCTTCTAACAGAAGTAAGAGTTAACAAAAAAAGTGTAGTCAATACAAGATAATTGTAGGGGATAGAAGAAGAAGAGCACAGGAAGTGCATGTTAGAGGGTTAGATGTGTTATAAGAGGAAGTGTTCTCAAAATAGATGAGTTTTCAGAAGCTTCTAGAAGTTAGAGGGGGACGCCCCTGCTCTGACGGCGTGTGGTAGCTTGTTCCACCATCGTGGTGTCACAGATTAGAACAGCCGGGACTGGGATTGCTTTGTGTGAAGGGATGGCAGAGCCAGGCGGCGTTGTGGCCAAGATGGAGCGTAAACTTGTATTATGGAGTTTAGGTAGATGGGTGTAGACCCAGTAGTCGCTCTGTATGCAATCATTAGTGACTTGAATCTGATTCTGGAGGCCATGGGAAGCCAGTGGAGAACTAATGGAGTGACATGAGTCCTTTTGGGCTGATCAAAAACCAGACACGTTCTGAACCATTTGTAGGGGTTTCACTGCACAAGCTGGAAGACCTGCTAGGATGGCATTGCAATAGTCGAGGTGAGAAATAACCATGGCCTGTACCAGAAGATGGGTGGCATTAAACAATGTTTCAGCTAAATTGGGTCAATAAAGATATTATGTATCTCTTTGATGGCAACGGTTTAGTGTTTAATTATAATGTAGTGTAAAGCAAGGATTATACTTTCCACATCCGCCAGTATGCCAGGGTCTGCGTGACAAAAAAAATCGTCATCAAAGACCTGTCCATGCACCTAGCTTTACCAGGGCGCCAACCGATCTACTGCGCATGTGTGGAACGAGTCCGCCGAGCTTAATGCAAAAAGTAGTAGTAGGAAACAGCTCGCGTCCGCAGCTATCCGTGTGCACGTCTGCTCCCGAGTATATTGGAGCCTTAAGAGAAGGAAAATGATTCTTTGAGGAAGCGCTTTTTGGGAAAACATTTTCACAGGTATTGGTTGGCAGATGGTATGTACATTATGTATCAGTCTAGCAATAAGATTAAAGAACTACATCAATCATAATTTTACACTATATATATCTTTCTATGCATTTATTTTACGTTTGTGTACATTCAGTAACTTTTTGGACTGGAATGAAAGTGTGTAAAACTCATCATAATATTACAATTGTGTGTACACATTTTGAATATGATAAATAGCCTATAACATTTCATTAATTGTAAACTCATTGATTCTCTATGGCAAATTTCACATAGTGCTACATTAATGCAATGCATGTGAATTTAAAGAGTAGGCCTATATTAAGACTCTCAAATATAATAAACACTGAAAAAGTGATAAAACTGTCAAATTGTGCAGCAAATTCTTTTAAGAAGAGTAAGGTCCTCTTGTGTTTTAATGTTTTATAATTCGCAAGTCATATCATCAATAATAATGATTCCAGTCAGTGCTTTGTACTGCTATAGGCCTACCATCAGCTGGTTAATTTGATTTGGTCTTTAGACCGCAGTGGAAACGCACACAACAATGGGCTGAAGGAACCTTCTAGTTCCTTGAAAAGTGTGGTGTCCGAACAGCATCAATTACAAGCTCTGCAGCAGCTTGGAGAGTGACCCAGCCTGATGACCACTCTGTCTCTCTGTACATCAAACATAGCTTATATAGGATATGTTTAGGTATCTGTTAGGTACCATAGAAGGGTTTGAGTCTGCAAAGTAAAAGGTCAAACCCATAGAAGGGTACAGTACTATTTTGAGGTAACAAAACAAGGGATTAGAGGTCAAATTCTATAGAAGGGTTCAGTCCCTTCAACCTACATAACCACCAATCACCGCTCTCCCCATAGAATACCTCCCCAAAGGTCACTGACCGTCTGTCTTGCTGCTACAGTGCTATTTTGAACTGTTATGAGTCAAATGCATAAGTATTGTATACTACTGCTCTGCACAGTTTGTGTGCTTGATTGTCTTCTCAATAAAGGTTTTTAAAAAAGAGGGAAAAAAACTGAACTGATGAGGCTATGTAGGCCTATGTGGGAGGTGACTGTGGACAACCTCCGGTATGTGTCTCCGGAGGCCCAGAGCTCGGGATGAACGGGGAGTTAGTCAGTCGTTTTTAAGACCAGCAACAAGGAGGACTTCTCTGCTGTTTACAACAGATGCCACATGGAATAACGTCAACAACGAAAGAGCAGCTTTATTTACTGCACGGACTCCGGATGTTACTAACCGTTACGGTTGAAGTTGGACCTTGTCGAGATCTAAACGTAAGTTCGCAGCAGAAGTGAAACTGTTACTTTGCCACCACATGCAGATGTGCTGACCAGTCTGTGAGGAGGTGACATCAATGCACCGCAGAAAAATGTAATGCAACTTCCACATGAGCAGCTCGTGCAGCTTGGAAACAAATCTGGTCATATATCACCAACTTAACGTTAATACGTGCATGTCAGTCACTCTCTGAACCATTTCACAACGTATGACGATCCGTTGAACTGCGACTTAAAATTATTACGAGCACAATTTCTTGTCCTAACGTAGTGTTTGTTGAACTCGAGACAATGGGCCGTTCCTACTCTCTCCCCCCTCCTACTTTCACTTCGTTTGCGCGATCAAGCGGGGGTCTTCTTATAAACAGTCTACGGGTTCAGCCACATTGAGTGCGATCTGAAACCCATGAGGGAGGAGAGGTAGTGGTGGGTTATGTTGGTTAATGTTGCGTGAGCATCGATGCTAGCTTGTTGAAGGAACAACCTCTGCTGCGCGATGGAGGACCCTTCTTTCCGTGTGGCTTAGGATGTTTAAATTCTTAAAAACTACACTACCATTTCCATATCAACATACACAGGTTAACATAGCCCAAAGGTTATTGTATTTAATATAAACAACGCGTTTGTCTGGTAGACCATACAACTGTTTTTTTTTTTTATTGAATCTTATACATCTCATAGGCCTCTGAAAATCTTCAGCCAAAAGTTAGATACACAACTAACGTTAGATACACAGGGGTAAAATAAAGCAACAAAAATATTTAAATCTATACACATGTTAACTGTTTTACTATTCTTCAGACCATTTAATGCTTCAACATGTATAGCCTAGGCTTTTACAATCAAGATAAATCTTAACATAAAAGAATGTGAGTGAGGTGTCTTTTTATAAATGAATAGCTGAACCAGACAACGGCTTAAAGAAATATTCTAAATCTAACCCATGTGATTTAGTACCTATAGCATGCAATCATAAAATAAATGGCAAATGGTTTCACTTTCATTATTGCAAAACACCTCAATATCATTCCTGAATCTTAAAAAGGAGACCTATTATACTGCATTTCCAGTCCTATATTGTAGTTCTGTGACTCTTGTATGCCAGCTTTGCATGATTCAAAGTTCAAAAAAATGATTTGCTCTCTTATACTGGCTCTTCATGTGGGCCCAGGGCTTGACATTAACTTTTTTGCTCACTAGCCAATGTGGCAAGTGGTTTTCCAAAGTGACTAGCCACACAGCATTTTCACTAGCCACATTTTTGTTACGTTTTATATGATTAAAGTTGACAATGGCATTCTTAAATTGGCGTGCTAAAAATTACTAATATTATCATTAGCTCTGATAAGGTTGTGTGTAAAGTTCATTTTTTTGAAAACATATAGTCTATTAGTATAAAGAGTAGCTTCTTATTGTATATACTAAAAGTGCTGCATGAGTGTAAAAGATTAATTGAAAACATGAAAACTAAACTGAAAAAAAAATTCATCAGAAATACTGTAATACAGAGTAGAAAAATGATCTATATTATAAACAAAGCATAACCAAAGAATAAATTGTTTTGTCTTAGAAAAAATCCACAATTAAGGCAACAGGATTAAAATTTAATGTACCTATTTAATGTATGCCTATATCAGTTTTGGGCACGTTTGGATGGTTTGTTTTGCATCTGCATTTCCTCAGAGCTCTGACTGGATTTATGTTCATGTATCAACATGAAGCTCTGTTAGTTCTGAGTAATTGGAGATACTTCCACCTAAAACAATTACACAGGTCTTTATTTTCCAGATGGTTCCCAAACAAATGCATCTCCTGCTTTCTTACACGGCATGATTACTTTTATTAAAAAATACAGTTAACTCGAAAGGTAGCTGTGATATGACGATATGATGTTACATAAGGGCAGCCCTGCTTGTAGTAACACCATGTCTCTTAATCATGAAGATCTCTGTAATTTTACAGCATTTACCGGCACTTTCCTCCTGCTTCTTCTCTGTCTCAGCTCTGCCTTTTCTCTTTCTCTTGTCCTCCTGTGCATTTTTACTCATGGGAGTTGTAGTGTCAAATTGCAATTTGTTTGTTATTTCAGATGCCTTTTTGAAAAGACTACAAGTTTTCAACATGCCACATGGCTAGTGGGAGTGACTGTGGCTTTTGCCCCAGGGATTTCTTTACTTTAACCTCATTATTTGAAGCTTTGGCTATGTTTAACATGAACATCCAACATTGTAGATGAGTCATAAAATGTGGAAAAGCATAATAGGTCTCCTTTAATCCCCCTCTGTCTCCCCAGAGATAGACTTGTTAACTGTGAGTGGTAAATAAATTATTATGCCAAATTTTAAGGTACATGACAATCCTAGCTAAACAGTTACACTACAAACAAACACCTTATGAATTATTACAATGAGATTGGCTTCCAGTTTGTTTTTACATTTTAAAAGCTTTGGTTTAAGAGGTGCTATGGGATTTTGCCACGTCCCCAGTGTTGGATCATTCAACTTAGATCTAAAAAATAACTTTTAAAAACATATATGTATTTCTAAATATTTCATTATCTAATTTTCCTCTTCAAAATCTATTTAATGAAATGTTGTTTTTATCAAAATTGTAATTTTTATGTATGTTTGTATCGAGCGACCACTGTTGAGTTGCATTAACTGTCCCTTTAACTGGAAAACATTTTTTTACTGACATCACTCTCATTAGGTGACCTGGTGACATCACACCAGTGGAAATTTGTGTGATTTTCTAGCTCTCTTGTTGTCTGATTTTGACATTTTTATTAAGTCAGTTTAATGTGATTGAACATAATGTGTCCACCCTATTAGGCCTAAGTTTTGATAGAGAATGATAGATTCCTCATCTAGTATTGTTAAAATGCTAACTTTAGCTCAAAATGTCCACCTTGTTAGTCTGTAACAGGGTGGACATTTATACACTAGTGTTTTGTCCACCCTGTTATGTTACTAGATGTTGGTGTTTTTTCTTTCATAGTTTATTGAAATTACCAAATATTAAGTGTATATTTGTATTTACATAAATCTATGGAAGGGATTGACTATGCAAGCAAGAGACATTAAGTAATTCTTATCATAATTCACTTTTCTTGAGGGGAAAAAAAGTGGAAGTCCTCTTCATTATGTGTGCTTGTTTTACTCAATATAGGCTTGCCTATGCTGTTTAAAAATTATTTTATTGTAAAACAAATATCCAATAAGAGTGAGGGACAAATGATTTCTATAAAAATAAAATTTTAGTAGCAATTATACCCTGAAAGCAATTTTAAACAGTAATGTGTAAAGCTGATGATACACGGGGCAACTTTTTGAGCAATGTTGCTGGGCAATGTTGCTAGTGGCAAGTCCGACTATGTTTTGAACGTCTGGTGGCGGTGCGGAGTGGTGGGGGAAGGGGATTACGGTAGTAATCTTTACACATTACCATTGACAGCAACGTTGCCCTGCACGATTGCCCTAAAAGTTGCTCTGTCATCAGCTTTAGTCCTTAACAGGGTGGACATTTCCCGCGTGTCACATGTTGTTAATATATCTAAATTTAATACAATAAAGGTGCCTGAGCTCGACCAATATGTTTTTCATAAAGTTAAAGTTAGAATTTTGAAAATATAGGTAAATCAACTATATATTTATCCCAAGTTATGAAGTCCAAATAGCACCCTAGAAAATTACTCCTGTGTTACTGTGTTTTATTGGGAAACTTTTGCATTGTATTTTTGTTTGCTTGATGGGTTCCCAAAGAGTAGGTTTGTGGTTTTTATTTGAGATATGGACTCTTGTGGAGATTTGAACTGAGATAATGACTCATTTAGTGGCGGTTGCACAGTGGGTTTGGTTTTGAGTACAGACTGTATTTAAACTGTGGTGAATTTCAAGTTCTTGTGTGCTTTTATGATTCTTGTCATCTGTTGGTACCCTTGAAATACCTGGTTGTTATCGGTTGTTCAGTAAGGTAGAGTGATTGTCATGACTGAAATACATGGGTCCTTTGTGCATGCAAACATGCATGTAATGCTTTTGTGTAAATATATTGATTGACAACATTATTTACTTTACATGATGCTTAAATGAACCGAATGTTATTCCTCCATTTAGTGCATACATTTCAAAAGAGGCAGATAAAATTTGTCAATGGCTGACAAAAAAAGTCAGTGGAAAAAAGCCAATTTCACATTCTTAACCATTAGACAAGCTAGCATGCCGTGGTCGTGTAAAACCAAAATGCAGTGGATGACAGACTGAGAAGATTAAAATTTCACTTCTTGGTATTTATGCTTGTTGAACAAGTGCATATAAGTTGCTAGATTGATTTGCCCAACGTGGCATGTTACTTGCCCCAGGCAATGCTTACTTTTGAGCCCTGGGAGGGCCTTACAGTAACCCCTAAAATCCACTGACTCCGGCTACGTCGCGTTATGGCTGCGCCGCGTTATGGCTGCCGGAGCCAAATAAACAAAATCAACATGTCAGCAAAATCAGGCAGGCAAAATGCTGTGATTCTGAAATGCTCCTCATGGGAAATGCAGCCTGAAGTTGATGGAATGAAGCAGGGTCACATAGAGCTTTCAAGAAGGTTGTAGAAGAACAAAAATTACAAATTAATAAGAAGTCAATAACCCGGGGCAGGCTGCACGCTCCGCTGCTGAGACGCTTACAGTGGACTTTGACGCCGGGCAATGGAGGCATCAAAACCGTGGCGGAGCTGTAACATGCCGTAGCCGGAGTCAGTAGATTCCTGGCATTAAGCCAGCAAAAGGAGGAGCAGATTGTTGTAGTAAACTTTCACTAAATGTACTATGCATTACGAATATGTCTATGCGTAACCCATATACTCTAATGTTAAGTTTGCATGATTAGAGAAATTTGGTTGTCATACATAACCAGCCTTAGTGGAAAAGGGTTTTATGTTGAAATAGTGTTATAACATGTAAGTTTGGGGAAAAAAAGCATGTAAGTTTAAAAAACAAAACAAAAAAA